CGTTCTTTTCTCTATTCTCAATATATCATCCATTTATAAAAAATATTTGTTCTGAGAAGGCATAAAAATCGTTCAAATATATGTGGGAATTTTAATATTTTCTTTATATTTCTGCATATGCAGTCATGGTGTAGATATTCTATTGTACAATATAAGGTTACAACCTCACCACCCTAGGATTTCTGCATATACAAGTTTATAAATATGTAATCCTATATCTCAAATAGTGCATAAATTGTCCCTGTAAATATGACATCGAATATGTGTCGGTTAGAGATGCAAAGCCATAAAATATTCACATCATGATTATCGTGACCAAAATCATTAGAGGTAACGCACTCTTTGGTATGTAACGGCCATTTTCACTTGGAATATAGCACTAAATATAATTTCAGCGCACACACACACACACACAAACACACACATACTGAAATTATATTTAGTGTTGTCCTTAAATAATGTAAGGCGCTAAATCTCATCTAAACATCATTCTGACTTCTTTAAACAAACATCCCCTACATATTCATCTCTTTGCGTGCATTGATTTTCCTAAAAAGGATAAAAGCATTAAATAGAGGGTAGAGTTTTTTTTTTTAAGTCATCCTAGTGTGACAAAGGAAACACGAGAAGGAGTCAGTTATTCATACCTTGTCACCGGTAATAACATCATAAAGGTCATTACCCTATTTACCGATGTCAAGGACGCAGTTTCTTTCCTGAATTTTGTTCTGAGATTAAATATTATAATTATTTACATTGTCCGGACTGCTGCCCTCATGATTATTGCCATATTCACGGCGTTTCGGACGTTGTACGCTCCGGTCGTCTTCAGGTGATTGGAATTTCGATCAGAAACCTTTATTTTGTCCACCGAGGTAGACATATGACCCAGTGGATAAAAGGGTTGGTTGGAACCAGTGACTTCACCCAAAGAGTTGTGAGTTCGATACCTGACTACTGCAGTGGTGAGCAAAAACTTGGGGAGTTGAGTTAAAGAGAGATAAATGAAACATCCGGAAGAGGCATGGCACGTGGAACTAGAACAATCTACATCGGTGGACGAAATAAAAGATTCAGTTTGAAATTCCAATCACATGAAGAAATCCGAAGTGTACAACGACAGAAACGTTGTGAATGTGGCAATAATGATGAGTACAAGGGTCCGAAAAATGTAAATAATGTAAATAATCAGGAATTATGTCATAGGCATACGAAAATATCAACCTTCTTCCTCAAGGAGGCAAGGCAAATTTTCGAGACTGATTTCAGAAAAAAAAAACTGCGTCCTTTACGCCGGCAAATACGGCAGCTATCTGAAACGATATTACTAACAACCAGAGATTTTATCACGGTTTATCATCCAAATAGTACTTACTAATAAGCGCTTGAGAAAATACGTTACAAATGGAGAGGATATTAGAATAATCCTGAAACTATACTAATAGAAACCGCTTGCATACGGATAGAAAATGGTTTCAGCATATATACAAAAATAGAAAGAGCTGTATGACAAGGGTGTGTTTTCTCACCGGATTTACCCAACTTATACAGTGAGGCGATTCTGAGAGAATGAGAAGTCCTACCAGGATTCATTATTTACTGCCACAATCTTAACAACATATGCAGATGGCACAGCAAACACTTAATGAAAACTACAAATCTCCTACAGAAGCTAATAAAGGAAAGCGAAAAGAAAGTAGTAAACATCAATTGCAAGAAGACAAAATGCATATAGCTGTCAACAAAAAGAAGGGTCCAACATGCAGATTACAAATTGAAGATACCCAAATCAAACAAGTACAAAAATTTAAATATTTTGAAAGTGTTTTTACAGAGGATGAAAAGTGCAACACTGCATTGGGATAGTGAATGATACTTTCCAAAAGTTAAGCAAAGTATTAAAAAACATAAAAAAATCCGTTAGAAACAAAGAAAAGAGTACTGAACTGCTATGTAATATCAGTGAGTCAGTCCTCGAAATGACAACATTTCAGATCCTTACTTTTTATTAAAACAAGTAAGTTCAGAAAAATAAAAGTAATCTTTAAATTTGCTAATTTTGATCATGTATTGATTTTTCGATATATGACTAATTAGAAAAAAAGGCAGATTTTTTTCCCGCAACAACATTTTTAAATAAAATTTACCCATTTATTTCTGCGGTAGACTGGTTGCCAACCTAAGTTAAAGCTATAAGTGATACACGCTGGAGTGATCATGTACCTTTAAAACCCCAGTCTGTCCTACTATTCAACCCATAGATGTGGGAGAAGAGATAGATTCATATCTTTCGCAAGTGTGCGTAAGTAAATCTAACAAACTCGACTGGAATTCGAACACGGCTCTCCGATTTCTCACTCCGAGCCGATATCCATTACATCACAACGCACATCAGAGGCAGTGAATGTTGGACAATCTCCTCGAAGATGAAAAAGAGACTTGGAGCAATAGAAATTTGGTTCTACAGAAAGAAAATGATAATACCATCAAACGATTATGTGCGCAACGATGACGTTTTAGTTAAATAGAAACACAAACATCAGGATGAAACAGTTGAAATTTCTAGGTCATATAATGGGAAAAGACGGCTTGGTAAATTGGAT